CCGCGTGGAGTTACAAACTTACAACATACAACAAACAAACAAACAACATACATGTGAAACTAATATAAGCGTGTTAAAAAGTAACGGGTATTTTCATAAACTGTTTAAGTGTAATATTGATTATACAAATAAAATTTTGTCTATGAAATACAAACTCTTAAGCTAAAAATAAATTTCCTTCTTTGGTTTATATAATTTTGATTTAATAAAAAAAATATAAAATTACATTAAATTACTTTTTTGTTGGTGTGAGATCGCTTAAGTTGAATCTACATCCATATCTTCCTCCTGAGATAGCTGGCATTTGTTGCACATAATGGAAGTAAACAAGTGTACTTTACATTTATTTTTACCACACTTTTTACATTCTAGTCGTGTTCTGTTATTCTTCTTTGATCCACAAATATAGAATATACCTCTCTTAATTGGTCCAGCTTGCTCGTCATTAGAACTCTTTTGCTCTTTATACTGTTCCAAGAACACCATCAAATCTTTTGGCAAACTGTTTATTTTAGATTGTTCTTTCAAGTTTTCATTCATCAACTTCAATGACAACTTGTATAGGTATGGTCTTCTTGTATTATTTTTGATATGATGGTTGTTGAATTGAAAAATCCTCAACGAATTGATTCCTGTCAGATCAAGTAGCCGGAAAAATATTGTCATAGGCCACCATTGTGTTTTCCTCGAAGTACTTATTCTTGAACACATGAGATCAACCGTATCAACCCCACCTTTCGTAAAATTATAATCCATAATCTGTATTGGATTTTTTGTGTCGTTATCAATAATGTCGGAGTCATGCATGGTAGACTGTACTACTACGGCTTTCTTTTTGTTATCATTGATATCAAAGTTTTGTCATCTTGGCACCCAAACATGTAGTATTCAGACAAAGAGTTTTTATCGACACTCACAAATTCTGGGGGAATTTATATTTTATTTTTTTTCATTGTTCCCAAAAAAGTAAAGCGTACGCTGAGTAGATATTCTACCAAGAGATAACTTATAAAATAATTATCTGTTGTAAGGTTTCGGTTTGTCCCTTTAATACTTTTAACTAACCTCATTACAACGTCATAAGGTTTATTTGATATAATGTTGGAACCTATATTTTGTTTTCCACAATACACATCCAAGTCATATGTATAAAACATACGAGCATCACACAATGCATATATTTTTAGCTCGTACTTAGCAGGTTTTTGGGCTATGTACTGGACCAGGAAGAGTTTTTAATATATTATTAGACTTTGTTTTTAAAGGTAGAACAATATTGTTGCTTGCCCAGATTGTCTCATTGTCCTTACCTATATAAAATTTTAAATCGGCTATTTTATCATTTTGTACATTCTTGTCATCTTCCTCAAAGTCTATATCGATCTCTGAATCACTGTTATTATTTCCCTCTTCAATAAACTCTAAACCATAATCTGGATCTTCTAAATTGTTGTGATACTACAAAAAGTTACCTAGGTCGTATAAACTGGGGCCAAACTGGTCCTCTCTTTCCTCCCTATCTAATTCGGCTAGGACTCGAGCGATTTCTTCATCGGTGTTATACTGTTAATCCCTGATCAAAAATAAATAAACCATCGTTCATTTTCTCAACAAAACTATATCATTTTTAAAAATGTAAAAGAAAAAAAAAGTGATTTTATGAGAATTAAAAAAATAGTATTGTTAAGAATTGTAAGCAATCAGGAAAATGAATAATTACTATTTATATTAAATTTATCAGAATTGTAATGGCAGTTCTAAGTAAAAAAGTGAAAGATTAACGATTTTTAAATTTATAATTTTTTGGAGATTTGGAAATAGGGGTCATTTACGGCAACGAAGGAAATTATTTCAATTTTTAGGATAATTTCTTTGACTAGATATGATTTTTGATCTTTTGGAGTATCATTGAAAGAAATCGGCTCGATGAGAGCTGAAAAAAAGTGGTAACAGACACAAAAAAAAAAATACATCATAGTAAAAGGTAAATCGAAGGTAAATAATTTTAAGTCTAAGAATGCATAAATTATTTTTAAAAAAAGTTATATTTAATAATTAGTAGATTAAAAATTAATTGATTTGTCAAAACTTTGTCGACTACATGTGTATACGTATATAACTCAAATTTTAAAAGTATGACTGATAAAACTTATCAACTTCTATGTATAAGAAAAGCTTTTAACTATTTTTTCAGAATACAGTCGTGTCTTTAATAGCAATATTTGTGTATTTCTTAATACAATCAACAGGTAATATAAAACATGTTTTTCTATTTATTAAACCATCTTGGGACAAAATTTGTTTACATTGAATATTATTTGTTCAGAATAGTTGTCATGTTCAATATCTTTTCTCAAAATATACAATCTTTAAATTTGTTTTTTCGATAATGATTCAATAACATAATTTGTTCACTAAAAATAAAAATCAATGATACAATTAATTTGTTAAATAAATTATAATTATAATTGATATTAACATTAGGAGTTTTTTCAAGTTCTAGTAAGTAAAAGTTATGAATAAAATTTTTTTCTTGTAAGTGTACTCAACTTTTTACAACAGTATCTTACTAATAATTTAGATTTATAAATAAAAAATTACCAATTATTTTAAAATCTAGAGTTTTTTTGATTCATTTCATAATCTAAGAATATGTCTTTTCGAACAAACATCATTAACATCCGTTATATTGTAATTAATTCTATTATTATACAGGTAATTCTTTAAATTCAAGTAAATATTTAATAAAATTAATAATTTTTCGTTTAAACTTTATTTTTAATTTTGTTGATTATTTATTTTAATTATAACTAACTAGCTAGGTCACGCATTACTCCGATCTCAGAAGCCAATTGGTTTTTTATACCATCGATATTTGCAGATACACAGCATTTATTAATGGTAATGAGGGACATTGTTGTGAGTTTATAAATACATTAATGGCAATACAGAAAGTATATCTAATGATAGTCATAATTGACAAAAAACACACTGTGACTGTGACAGCCAAAATAAAACTTATTAGCTACCTGTATTTATAATCCATTGTGTATAATACATGTGTATTAACTTAAAAATTTGAAACTTTAAATGTTTGTATCTAATAAACGAATAAATTTTTATTAAACATTAAAATGCCATTTAATATTAAATTATAAACTAACATATCACATAACATCGAATCAATACTCCAGCATGTGACTCTGAGTACCGTCAAGTTTTCGAAGACCCCGTCTTTCGAAAGGGGGAACATGTTTGAGATAGACGATAAGGCGTTTTTCAATATGTGATAATAAATTATTAATTAAAAACATATCATGTATAATTTCAAGCAAATCTCTTCAAAATAAGCAATTGTTAATACTTTATTTTACAGGAGAACAATTAGAAGGTTAGTGTTTTTTTTCCAATAAATTTATTTAAAGAAATCCAAAGTATTTTACATTTACATTTTTTATGCTTAATAAATGTTATGAATGTTATTACATTTACAGAATATTATTCAACATGCGACCTTAGTGACGGTATGTCCATTATTAAAAACATCATCACAAAACTATGATAGACACTTTATCAAAAAAATATCACATGTTCACAAACACTCAAATAAATGTGAATTAGGATTGTCCTTAGATAATGTTAGACTTTATGGTATGAGTTTTTTTTTTTTTGGAGGGGGAAGTAATCTAAAAAAAACTATAAATCCACTCCTCGAGTTAAACATCAAACTTTCTTGTAGTGATAAATGTTGACTAAAGATTCGAAACTTTTTTTTTAATATTTTAAGGGTGTTTTTAAAAACATTAAGTGATGAGAAGTTCAAATTTCGAAAATAAAGATTTCATTCTATATTTAAGGACTACCCGAATGTGACATTAAAAAGTAAGGTCATAGTTTTTTGAATAAATGTGTATTACACACTTATTCGAGTGCTTGTGGATGTATAATATTTTTTATTTTTCCGTTTGGGGAGTACACAACGTGGACAGTATAGATTCTCCTTTTTTTCGATAAGGATCCTTCTTATAATTAAATAATTATAAATACATTATTTTACAGGAGAAGAATTAGAAGGTTAGTGTTTTTTTTTCCAATAAATTTATTTAAAGAAATGCATAAGTTATAGACAATTTACATTTATTATGCTTAATAAATATTATGAAAATCATTGAAATTACAGGATATTTTTCACCATGTGACTTTAGTGACGTTATTAAAATTATAATAAATTATTAATCAATAATTGGTTAAGTTGGTATTAAGTCTCACAATTAACTAATTCTATGTAGTTATAGTGTATAATTAATTTGTTCGTATTTTCAGATGAGGAAGTTAGTAAGTAAATATGTAATGTTTATTATTGGATAATTAATTATTCAAGTTCATTTTTACTTGTGATATTTTATAATGCAATGTTTAAAATATTGATCAGTTTATATCCTTCTATTTCCCAAACTTAACATGCTCTATAGAGGGTGGTGGTCCTCTTTCACATGTTAGAGATTCAAAGAGGGTTCTTGGCTAGACCAATGATGAGCAGGACGGATTGCACCTGAGACAAAACAGTACCAATGAAAAAATCACAAGAAAATTTCGCTGGCACCCTAGGAACAAACCTGGAACGCTATATGTCGGAACATACATTTCTACCCACAATGTCAGGCTGACTCAAATATGTAATATTTATTATTCGATAATTAATAATTCATGGTAATTTTTACTTGTGTCAATGTTATATGGAATGACTAGGGGTCTCATTCAACACCCCCCTGTTAGATGACAAGTCAGTTAGTAGTGGTGTTGATCTGTTTATTTTATTTAGAAAAAAACACTAGTATTGGGCATTTTCGAATATTTTAAACTATCGAATAACTATTCGAATTGTTTCTGTATAACCGAATAGTTTTTGAATGACTATCAAATAGTTCGATAGTTACTATTCGATATTTCCCATCACTAAAAAACACTGTCGATGACACAAATAAAGAAACCAAAGAATCAATATGCAGGTTTTGTCCAAATTTTTATTGAAATAAAATAACAGTTATCATGCGGTAACGACAAAAGGCAATGATATGGCTGGACTTTGTATCGTGATCAGTGATAGTCCATCAACAATCATTTACACGTAGTAGGGTAATGGTTGATAAAAGGAGCACGGGTCACGTGGCTCTGTGTAACATGAAGCGATACAAAACTGTTTCAAGAAATCATTTTTTTCTAATTCTAAATTCAAATTTTACTTTATAACGTCACAAATTTGAAGGTGGATCGTTTATTTTTATTATGTCAACTTATATATTTTTTATGGCGCAATTATTTTTGCAGCTGATTGCTAGATAAGATGAAAAAAGATAATAAATAAAATTAAAGTCTAATTGTTTATCGGTATTGATCCCTCCCAAAAACACAGGTTGTTAGATCGGTGTTGGCTATTCATCTCCCTTCTGTCATTGACCGTATTAGAGTGCATATTTTTCTTATTTGCTTGTGATTATTATTTTTTCAATTATGGAGTAAAGACACCAACGGTAAATGCCCAGGTCTTTTCGGCGAAGTATTTAGATTATTCGGAGACCAAGTATCGTTTTCTTTTTTATGACTATATTTATGTAATGAGCTATATTTTTTATTAATTTTTTTATTTTATTTTCGTTACCTTTCTTTATAGACACGGTTTTTGGTACATTCGTATTTTTGTCCATGTTTAATTTAATTTTCTTGTTTAATATTTGATAGGTGTGACACCTTGGTTAGGTGGTGGCGACACTTGCTATAATAGCTAGTTGTTATGCAAAGTGGCAAACAACGTTGTTCTTACAGGCTCACAAAACGCTCACTTGCAATTTAATATACAGAGTGATTTTTTTATCATAACCCACTCAATTACTTACAGAATAATAATAATTTAAACATTTTTTTTTATTATTATCTTTAGTTACACATTATTCTTGAATTATTAACTATGTAATACTTTTTAAGTTCATCCCTTATGCCTGGTAAGGGTGTCAACTTTGTTTTTTTAAATGGTAACACATATTTTTAATTTAATAAAATGTTTGAGTTTTTAATTCAATAGTAAATGGAATTTGAATTTTTAATGAAACTTAATTTGTTTATTAGATATAAACATTTAAAGTTTCAAATTTTTGAGTTAATATATAGGTATAATACACAAGGGATTACAAATATAGGTAGCTAATTGATTTTTTATGACATCGATATTAGCAGGTACATAGCATTGTTATTATCAATGATAGTAAGGTACATTGTTGTTAGCTTATAAATACACTAACTGTTAATACAAAAAGTATATCTATTGATAGTCATAATTGATAATAAACAATCCGTGACTGTGATAGCAATATTTTTAACTTTATAATGCTATAACTTATTGAAAAATATATGGATCAACATAATTTTTTTATGAGAAATAATATTTTGTAATAATCCCTTTTTCATTCAGGATATTAATAAGAAAATAGCAGATCATGTAGCTTATGGAATAATCCAACAATTTTTTAATATTAAACACTATCTAAAGATTAGCATCGAAGCGTTTTTATTTTGATAGTGATTTTAATCTCTGTCAGATATCATTATATTTGATCCAACCATGCCACGTCACTAGTGTGCCGCGACCCCCCTGTGCTGGGTTTTTTTTTCTCTAGTATTAACAAATTTAAAATGACTTGAACATTGAAGATGAATTATTTTTATAATATTGTATTCTATAAACAAATTTTAATATAATTTGATGGATATAAATTGATAAAATAATAATAAAATAAAGTGTAAGTAAAATTATATTATATTTAATATTTATTTTTAACATAACCGATTCCTGTATCTATTAATTTTCTTCGGAGTTAAAAAATGAATTAACATTAATTAATGTTTATTTAAATTAAATAAATACGTTATAATGCATTACTTGGCCCTCATAACAAATTAATTCTTTTTTTAGAGTGTGGGATTTGTTTAGATGCTCTTGATGAAGAAACACGTACTTTAAAATGTTGTAACAGGAAGTATTGTAAAAAATGTATTACTTCTTGGCTAAATACAGGTGTTGATAGATGTCCTTTATGCTTTATTGCTATACCTAATTGTAAGTATTAAAAAGTTTATATTTAATTTATAACAATACAAAAAATGTAAACTTGATTTTATTGTTTCACAAGGCTAAGATAGCAGATAATCAGGGGTATTATAAGACATGTTTATTAAAGCCATTATACCTAAATCAGTCTTTCAGAGTGCTAAGTTTCAATAAATAATTATATTATTTTTTTATTCGATATTTTTTATTTTGATTTTTTATATTTTACCAGAGTCAAAATTTTATTACGAGTCTTAATTTTTATAGGTCAAAAAGTGAATAAAATATGCAAAGCATATTCTATTTATTAAATTAAAATTTATAAGACGTATATATTAATTTTTCAACAACATTTAGCTGATAGAAAGCAAATTAACAATTTTTTCTTAGCCTATTACGTAATGAGAAATTTTACATTTGCGATAATTACAGTATTAATAATTAATACTGTAATGCTTGTTCAGCTCTTCATACATAAGTGGCGCGTTTAACGATTGTCTTAATTAAATGTGATTTCACAGAGTCTACCAAAGTGTGGGGTGAATGAGCATACAAAATATTCTACATGATATCAGCTTTAATTAATCAGTTCTGAAGTTCCATTTGATGTTTCTTTGGCAAAAATATTTTTTTTAATTCCCTCAACTTAGAAATCACCAATAAAATTTGCCTAATATCAAATTATGTCGATGACAAACTTTCTTTAACGTGATTAAAAATGACTGGGTATCATTTTCACAAGCCGCATCTTTAAAAATGCAATTATTATTTTTGGCATTCACTTAATTACAATTATTTTATGAAAAACTGTATTCTTGAAATAACGTATAAAACTATGTTATCATAATTTTTCTTATTATTTATCAATTTTGTTTTTAATAATCAATCACAAAATAAAAAATAATTCGATTCAATATTTTGTTAAAAAATTCTGCAAAATGGATGCGAAATATCTTTTATTTCTAAAACAATTTGAATTATTATTTTAGTATAGAATATAATTTAAGTATAGTTTCTAGTAAATATTTAAAATAACTTTTTTTTTTAATTTCTTAGTATGTTATGCATGTAAATCGGATATTTCTGGTAGTGGGAAAAAGTATGTAACAACATGTTGTAAAAGAATATTATGTTACAATTGCTTTTTACAGAATTTTAAAGAAAAATATCATTTACGTTGTCCTTTTTGCAAAATACTTAGAGAAAAAGGTAATAACATTTTAGTTTTAACTTTATTACATACTAGTTCTATAAAAATAGTGCTGCCTATGATATTTTAAATAAAATTTTAATGAATATTATTAAATAAAATATTAAATTTATCGTAAGGGTAAATTTTAGAAAGTTCAACGAGAACAATTAAATAGATAATGTTATAAATAAAATGTGGACTGATAGAAAAATAGTTCTCTACTATAAGATTTTTCATAAAAAAAAATAATAGGTTCCTATTGAACATTCAAAAGTTACCCATAAAATGTACCTTTTGTAATAAATATGTCTTACCTAAACTTATAATATTTACAATGATTTATAAAAATAAACTAAATTTTATTAAATTTATTTTCATTAAAAAATGGAGTTTAGTATACATAATAAATCACACTGTACAATGAAAAAGTTACGACTAAAACAATTAAATAGTATATAGTAGGGAATGAGGTTTTTCCCTTACATCTACCCTCAGAACGACTTTATCATAAAACATTTATGATTTAAATTTCTTTAAAATTTAAAAAATCACAACTACTACCAAAAATTATTTATTTAGAGACAATAATTGTTATCACAAATATTATATACTTATAATTGTATTTACCTAGTAGAGTTGGGTAAGTGGCTTTAAAAATTAATAAAATTATTTCACTGACTACTAAGGAGTTAAAAAAGTAATTTAATGATCACCAACAAATAAATAACCACATTAACAACTCATTAATAAGTTTTTAAGTCAATTAATAAAATGCCCTAGTGGTTAATAGTATGTTTAGAATTACTTGACAAAATGTGTAAAGGCACACAATTTTTAAACCTATAACTTACCAACTCATGGAAATTTTCAGGTAAAAAATTTGAAGTAATTAAGTTGAAAACATTATGTAATGAATGTAAAACAAAGAAAGGAAAATATAGCTATTCATCAATTTGTCCACATGTTTTTTGCAAGGAATGCTTTAAAAAAATAAAAAAAGAAAACGAACATTGCCCATATTGTAATCAACCACTTATAAGACGACAAGATAGCCGTAAGTTATATATCTCATACATGCATCGTGTCTTAAACCTAACTGACAATACTTATAACTTTTGGTACCATGTTTATTATCTGTGTGGGTTTCTCTCCGAAGAGATTTACCTACAACCGTGATAAGCGTTAACATTGGGTGTTTTTTCCTGGGGCACGGAGATTCAGTGCGAACTGGAGCGATGATACCATTGGTCTTCGCTCGCACTGTTTCCTCAAACAGAACACTAGCGCCGGACAACTAAGTTATTCGTACCGTTCGTCTTTGGTTTGCACCAACCTCAGGCACCCCATAGTAGGATCGCGGCACTATCCAAGCCACTTCGTATTATGATATACACAACCTCCAGTATACCTCTCCACTGGAAAAGGCTGGTAGGTGACAAGGACAGGTCAAGTGACCCGTCTCTCTGATTTCCCTGAGACCATAAACCACAAAGTCACTCCTGTGACAGCCACCACGGATCCAAGCACCACTAAACCCGATTGGTAAACCGTGACACGACTTACGTCGCAAGAATGTGGTCGACACTGGTTTTGAGGGTAGAGACCCGTGGGCCGTTTATTAAATGAGCGACAACAGATTATTTTAACAAAAATAAAACAAACCGAAAAGATAAACACAGTAATAATAATCTTCGCATAATATCGCAGCACTTTCGCTGGCGTCGACGACGCGATGTTCGGCGTAATCCTTGGACGGCAAAATGGTTAGCAGCGTTGTAGGCGACGGTGCGCGGGTGCGGTTCGGCTGTCGACGTTGTCGCTTTCACAACGGGAGGAAGACTCTCGCATCATTTTCGGCGGGTCGTCGTCGGCCGTGCGGCATTTGCTGGACTTTGCACCGTAGCGTATAACACGCGGTGTTGGTCAGTCAAATACTCATAGTAGGGCGACGGCTGATAAAGATGGCACGAGTCGCGGGGCATCGTGTATAACGAAGCGACGCGGGCCGTGTCAACCGGTCTGATAACGAGTGTCAGGACTTTTGGTATAATTATCATTTTGTCCAAATTTTGTTGGCTTAGACGCAAAGCTGAAAAGATATTAATTTTTTCTTAGCTCACACCCTTCCAATTTCATTCAACGATATGTCAATAGATCACAAATCGTATAATGTTGAAGACATTTCCCTTAAAGTTTATATATATCGTATATTTCCTCTTATATAATATCAATTTTTAAAAATCTCATCATTTACCTGGCCATATAGAAGAATTAAAAATCTTTGCACAAAAATTTAACTTTTTCAACTTAAGTTTTAAAAATACTGTAGAAATACTCCAAACATATGTTAAATGAAAACTTATGATACGTAATATAAATTGACAAAAACAAATAAGTCCTGACGACTTAACTTCTATTTGTAAATGGTTTCCATAGTTAAAATACATGCCATTTTTGTGTTAAAATTTTCGATTTTATATTTTAAACTTTGAATTGCTATGACTTTTTGTAAAATGTATGAATTAATACAAATATTTTATAAATACTTTATGTTAGGTCCTTTCATCGTACATACTTATTTTTAAATCGGATTATTTCCCTTTATACAAGGAGGAATCAAATCTTGAAATATCGGTATAAAAAGTAGAATATTTTTAACTTAACTTTTGAAAATGTTTTGGAAATACTATGTCCATAAGACATGTTAAATTAAAACTTATTGCCAACTATAAGTTGGAAAAAAATTTTCTCGATGGCTTATTTTCTATGTGCAAATGCATGTCGTAGTTAAAAATCATGTAGTTTTTGTGTAAATTTTTTTTTTTTTTAATAACTTGTAAGTTTTTGCCTTAATAATAAGTCGACCGAATTTTATAAGAGATACATGAATTTAATTTACATAGGATATAAATTTAAATTTATTTTGAATATTTTGTCGAAGTTAAGAAAAACGACATTGAATTTTTGAACTAACATAACTTATGCTCCTGTTGGTGTTTAAATAATTATTCATAATGATATATTGCATATAATACATTCAACTTGTAACGTATTTTTTTAATTAACTTTTTCGTGTGTTTCTAATTAGTAAAAATCTCAGAAATTGATTATTGAAAAAATCTAATTTATGACTTGAAGTCAGCATAAAAATTTGGTTTAATAAAGTATATATTGGTCTATAATCATTAAAAAATATTTTATTTTACTATGTAATTCAGAAGAAAAACGAATTTTATACTCCTATTAATTTTGAGATATTTAATTAATAAAAGTTTTTTTGGAATAGCCATTTTTTACAATAGTGTAATTTTGAAATATTAGTCTGAATTTCTAAAATTTTTAAGATTTTTTTCAAGCCTTAAAGGCTTTTAAGTCCAACAAGATTAAAATCGTGTTCTTTTATCGTATTGGTCATTAAAATTGGTTAAGTGGAAGTTGAAAAAAATTAATGACAGACACAAAAAAGTACCATATAGTAATATATTTTAATATGAAAGTCCTTCTCACAAGGGCAGACTAAAATGATAGGAGCCTCGATATTCATTGAATGTTGATTAAATGAAAGTTATTATTATTTATTTTGAATTTTTTTTTTCACCTCAAAATAAATTAAGAAAAAAATACAAAAAAAGTGATTTCGACTGGAGGGATTTGAACTGCGTACCCCGAGCGTATAAAATTGTAATATGTAAAACGCAGTCACCGTACACTAGGATTAAGTCTTGATAAAAAAAAATTATTTAAACTTAATAAGAAATTTAAAGTCACTTTTCTTAATTTTGAAGAGGTAATATAATCAAAATTTATATTTAATTTAAGTTAGATAAAGTAAATTTTTTTAAAAATTGATGGACTCATTACTATGGCTAACCCTTATAAAATATTTTAAAATAAACAAAATAAAAAAAAAAAAAAAAAAAAAAAAAA